CAATCACTTGCTATGCATCAGAGAGTTGGACAATGACTAGGGAGGATAGAAGGAGAATTGATGCCTTTGAGCTGTGGTGCTGGAGAAGAGTATTGAATGTGTCATGGACTGCCAATAAAACAGATTCATCCTGGAGAGGGTTAAACCAGGCTACTCCTTGGAGGCAAGAATTCTGGGGCTTCGTCTGACATACTTTGGACATGCTGTAGGGAGGGACCGGTCCTTGGAGAGGGACATTATGCTTGGGAGGGTGGAGGGCCAGGGCAGGAGGGGAAGACTCTCTAGGAGGTGGATTGATTCAGTTATGAGTGGGGTAATCGGGATGGGTGTGTCGGAGGCAGTGCTATTGGCACAGGATAGAGCAGGGTTTAGGGCTGTTGTACATAGGGTCACTACGAGTCGCAAGCGACTCAATGGCACATTAACAATCATAACAATAACAACAACAACAACCTATTTAATCTGTATGCTGAACAAATTATTTGAAAAGCTGGACTCTATGAAGAAGAATGTGGCTTGAAGATTCGAGGATGACTCACTGGTAACCTGCATTATACAGATGACACAAACTTGCTTGATGAAAGTGAAGAGGAACTTGAAGTACTTATTGCAAAAAAATCAAAGAATACGGCCTTCGATATGGATTGTACCTCAACATCCAAAAAACAAGGATTTATACCACTGGAATGATAGGCAACATCATGATAGATGGAGAAAAGATTGAAATTGTCAACAGCTTCACCTTACTTGGATCTACAATTAACACCCTTGGTAACAGCAGTCAGGAAAACAGGAAATGTATTGCACTGAGAAAAGTATGTGGTTAGGGACGTCTCCAAATTATTGAGTAACAATGACATCAGTTTTAGAACTAAGGTGCATCTGATTCAAGCCATGGTCCTCTGATAAATTGCTATGCACTTGACAGCTGGACAATAAAAAAGGATAACTGAAGAATTGATTTCTTTGAGCTGTGAAGTTGGAGATTACTGAACATCCCATGGATGGCCGAAAGAAAAAACAAATATATTGTGGAGAAAGAACAGCCAGAGGGTTCCCTGGTGGCAAAGATAATAAAGCTTCCCTCACACACTTTGAGTCTATTGCTAGAAGCTATTCCTTAGAGGGGGATATCGTGCTTGGAAAGACAGAGGGTCAGTGAAGGAGAGAAAGACCCTCAACCACGTAGACTGGCAAAGTGACTGTCACAATTGGGCTCTAGTATGTCAGGAAGTGTGAGGATTGCATGAGACAGGACAAGGTTTAGATCTGTTGTTCAAGAGGGTCACGGTGTGTTATAATCTACTTGATAGCATCCAATAACAACAGTAATGATACAGTTTGGCTAATATATCAGTCATGAAAATATAAAAGAGGTCCTAAATGATATATGCTTTTTTCTCTCGTGTTGTGTACTGTGGAGTTGGATCTGACTGGCACAGGAGGAGACTGCTCCTCCTTCTCCAGTGGAGCATCTGGTGGATTTGAACCACACATCTACGAGACTGAAGCACAGCTTTTTGCCACTAGGCCATCAGAACCCCTTAGCCATATATATTTTATAAGGTGATGCTAACTAAACAGGTAACGATCTGAAAATATCATTTGTTGCTCTGGGATTTTCATTCTTCTCAATGTTAAGTCATAATTTGTTGTGATCCACAGTCAAATGCTTTTGCACAGAAAAGAAAATACAGAAAGACATTCTCCTGGCATTCTCTGCTTTTGGCCAAGATCAATCGGACATCAGCAATGATATCTCAGGTGCCACAGCCTCTTCTAAATCCAGCTTGAACATCTGGAAGTTCTTTGCCAGGTGACAGCTATACCAGTAAGTAATATTTATTACCATAGCTGTTTTTTAATAATCTTCAACACAATTTTGCAATATTAATGACACTGTGCAAGTTTCCACATTCTGTTGAATCATTTTTTGGGGGGGAACGAAACCAAATATGGATCTCTTCCAGTCAGTGGGTAAGGTAGCTGTCTTCTAGATTTCCTGAGACAGCCTAGTGAGCACATCCAGGGCTGTTCCTGTCAACTGTTATTTCAATAATTCCTGGGGCTTTATTTTTTGGCTTATCTTCAGTGTAGCTTTTTGTACCATACAGTGATTTGTTCAACTGGACACTGAGTCACCATCAATAGCCAGGGGCCAACTTGATGGCTGTGACAGCAGACAACTGGGTAAAGGTTGTGCTATTTGAATGTCAATGCTGAGAGGTTTTCCCTGTTAAATCTACAACCTAAATACTAAATTTTAAAAATGTAGAATTTATGGAGAAGGCATATGAAAAGAGAAAAATTATACAGGTAATAATATAATGAATATTATTATATAATAGTACTATAACGAATACCACATTTTCTGAATTTCAAATTATCCATGTAGAATTTTCAAGAATCTGTACAGAACCGTCAAAGGTAGAAGAAAATAGACATTAAAATAGTATTACACATACCTTTATCTTCTAGAAGGTTCCCTGAATCCACTAGGGGTTTGTGGAATGGAGTAGATGCAAGCTGAGCTGCAGATGTAAAGTCTACCACGCTCTGAGGAATGGGTGCCAGGGTTTTGTTCCCAGAGATACCCCATATGGTTGAATCATCCATAAACTCTTCAGTATGAGGCACTTCCTACAAGAGAATCAAATGGGGGGGAAATTACATAATCCAACAATATTTTTTTCATCCATGAAAGTTAACATAACAGTATTTTTTAAAGAGCTTTAAAAAAAATAAATAAATACAATTATTATTTTCCCGTTTGTCTTAAGCAAGTCACTAAGTTAGTTTACTTAATCAAGTCACTTAACGAAGTTGAAGGAAATTAAGAGAGCTTGTGGACACGTACTAAAGCTCGCTCAGTAAGTACTATTTGGAGAGCTATACCAGTGAGTTGTGCTGGCTGAAGGTTTTGTGTTTCCAGGGGTTGAAATCCACCAGCATCTCCATACAAGGAAGGACTGGTGGAAGGTCACCGTGACTCACAACTGACTCCAGGCAGTGAGGCTGAGGCTATGCAGATAGATACTCCTGTTGATGGAAGCTTCATGCAGATTCTGGAACTCACCTGTACATCTTCTCAGTTGCACTTACTACTGTGAACTTCTAGGGATGTTTCTCTATTGCCACTCATTGCTTTTACATCAGTAATCTGGTATTTCTTTGCAAGGAAGAATCATCCTTTCTCAATCATATATTTACATCTCTCTGGATAGTGCTGGGTTTTTACCCTCTCATAGATTATAATCCCTACTATTTTATTAGATTTCTGTTTGGCTCAAATTGTTCCAACATTGACCACTGATTTGCTCAGGTTTGTTTTTGACATACCCATATGTCATTCATATCTTCTTTCATTGTTTCTGTCTCAGGCCTAGAATAACAATTTATCTTTTAGTGTAGAAGTAAAATTTTAGAGTCTGTGTAAAAATCGAGAAATGACACATTTTATGAACCCCTTTAATTGCTCATGAAACACTATGTTTCTATACATACAAAGCACAATTTTAAACATTCTAACACATCTCTACTAACTCTGGAGCAAAATCTCCTAAGGTGGACACAGAATAAAACAAGGGCTTAGGGTTTGGGCCAAGAAAATGTATGGTGTTTTTCTCTAGTCTAAGTACACATGGCTGAATCTGTTTAGTATAACATTCCTATGAAGTAATGCCTTTGCATTTGAAATAAGTTGGGATAGTTTTAAGGGGGGGAAAAAAAGTTAGACTTTCAATTGAAAGGTTAGAGGATTGGATAACCTGCTTATTCAGAAGAACCTATTCTAGAATTAAAACATCGGAGTTTAGTACATATCCTCAGCAAGAGTGAATGTGTGAGTATAGTACCAGCTTTCTGCAAAAGAGCTGAGCAGAGATAAAAGTACACTACAGTAACTATGTTCAGGTCTAGGAGAGGGCTGAACATGAGCTGGACATAAGACCATCTTAACAGAACTGCACTGGAGATCAGAGACATACAATGTTTGCTTGCTGAGGTATACTGACAGACCATTCCAATTTAATTCAGATGTGTTTATTTCTTCACTAGCATTTCTATAAGACACACATTGATTTTATAAAACTGCACTTTTCAGGATAACTTCATCTGTACAGACTCATCACACTGTCATAATCAGGAGGTAAACTAAAGAGGAAGGAGTCAGACTTGTCACATCGCGGAAGCAGAGGGCTTTGCTTACATTTGGCTTGGTACAAAGTTTGCTCACGGGGCGTTCTCCAAAGGTCCTAGCTCCTGGGGATTTATTTTTAGGCTGTGGTAATCTAAGAAGAAATGTGGAAAATTACCCATAGTAAAATATGCTTACTTAAGTGAGAACACAAGACAAATTCTTCCTTGACTCTATGTAATGAGTTAGATACTCCTTGATTTTAAAGCAGTTCTAGAGAGACTAAGTCAAAGCAAAGCTGGAATTGCTTGATTGAAGGTAGAAATTTCCAATAAACAGGACCTATGGCAGTAGCATGCCATGGTTGCCTTACAACTTTGTATTTCTTCCTCAATGTTTAGTCTAGTTATGGAAATCCTCTGTGAGAGGGCCATACTCTTTCCATGTATGATTTCAAATGTTAACGTGGAAAATTCTGGAGCTATCCCATGCTACCTCTAGATATGGCTGTTCGTTACAATGCCCCTCAGCTGTTAAAACACATTCTCTCTGCAAATTTTTCCAGTATAACCTCCTTTCCTACTCTGTCATTCCTGCGGAAACAAAGTACGTACAGATCCTTCTTGATGAATTAATTCAACTTCAAATGCATAGGATTCCTGTGTTCTAGCATATTCTTAAATTATTTGGTTTTCCTTTTTCAATGCATGCTTGTGCTATAGTGTGCCTGCCTTTTCTCAGAACTCCCACACAGTAATATACATCTCAAGAAAATTAGCAGCACCCAGCCTATCTATGTTCTCACAAGATCAATCGGTAGTAAACTGGGACCATCTGAGTGACAGGTCAACATTCCTTTATTAACCCTTTGACCACTAGAGGGGCTTTGTCAACTTCTCTAGGCAGCTATGATGCCAAAATATATCTCTACTAAATTAATCAGCTGCTTCATTACCCGTAATTTTCTTTGTTTCCATCTTCAAATACAGGAAAAGCAGATGACATAGAAGAGATAATTTTATTGACTTCCCCCAAAACAGATGATTGTGCATTTCCTGGGACACAATTAAAAAAAAAATCTTATTTATCATATTAGAAGTCATTATCATTTATCCTAAACTTCAACCATAAGAAAGGCAAAGAATAATGCTAAGTATTAAGTCATTTCTTAGTGTGAAGTGATTTATATATGGTCACAGTGGTTAGCTTAGCTTGTCACTACACTGCCATGTAGTATTCTCTCAAAACATTGTCACTGTTACACAATCCACTTAATAAAAGCATTCAGTGTTTTGTTTGCCATTTATCAGATGCAGGAATGAAATCTCTTAGCTTACTTCCCATTTCATCTTGCCAAGCATGATTAGATCCTCCCTGTTACTGGGAGTGGACAGCAGTGAGTCTGCTTTTTCTTTATTATTCAAGTGGCCTTGATGTGCAGTCTGTTGCCTGTGGGGCAGCTAACCAAAAGGTCAGTGGGCCAAATTCAATAGCAGCCCCAATGGGCCAAAGCTCAGGCTCTCCTCTTTGGTAAAGATGTAAGGCGCTGGAAAGTTGCTGGAGGCCACCATAAGCTAGATCTACTAGACAGCACTGGCTGAGTTCTTTACTTTGATATTTTATTCAGTCTCTCTGGCTCAACCACAAATCCTAACTCTAGACAAATGTGAACTTGCCAGTACCTCCAACACTCTGGCCCATGCTTCCCTTCTCCTCTACCACGAAAGGCTCAAGTCACACCTCAAGTGTAAGTCCTTCCTTGCCAGGCCTATCTATGGATGTGTTTTTCTTTCGCATCTACTCTTATTTTTTAAAAATAAAACAAACCCATTCAACACACAGTAATCTTATCCAGCCAAATATGGCTATAACCTTATTTCACACATTTCCCCTGTCCTGTGTGACAATTAAGAGCAGGGTACATCTTGTGTACCAGAATGCAACCTATAGCCTGACTCAGCAGGACCTAGGTGACAGTACCGTTGCTCAGAGAGCTGGCAAGGCTCTAAGTCTCTGTAGGAGCAGGTTGCCTACGATCTTCACAGGGTGGTGGATTCAAAACGCTGACCTTTCAGTTAGAAGCCGAGCTCTTAGCCACTGAGTCTCCAGGACGCCCATACCTCACAAAATCTCTGCTATTCCCTGTGGCATACACCTACAATGCTACACACTTAACAGGCTTAAAGGACATTACTTTGAAATTGGGCTTCAAACTCATCTTCATTTTCATCTTTGTCATCAGAAATATCAGGAAGCGTGGGAGCCTGAAACATATCCATGATGAAACCTTAAAAGAAGGGAAAGAATAACCATGAGCATGGTTGCAGAGGCTTCCATTCATTTAGTAAAAGATGCTACATTCGAACTCAATGCTTTACCTAATGCTTCTTTTGTGTGAACAGTGGGTGACGGCTGTACTTTGGATGGTGTTGCCTGAACCAATCCCAGAGATGAGTTTGGAGTTGTATGAAAGGAACTTGTGTTAGTATACCTGGGTGCATCATGTGCTATGAAAGGAACTGGGACAAAAGTTAACATCAGTAGAAAAATCAGAATAATTATCAAGACATATAATTTAGGTAACTTATTACAATTAAGGTAGTTCATTATTGTCAATAATTACCACTAAAGACTTCAATTACTCTAATACTTTCATTTTATCTTTGTAACAGTCCAATGAGGTAGGTATGGCCTGAGCTGTCCTTTTATAAAAAAAGGAATTAAGGTATGAAGAGACTAAGTGACTGGGTCTAAGATGATACCAAATAGCATATTTATTTCTCTTGCAGTTCAAGTCATATCTGTTAACTACCAAATTCCACTGTAAACCTTAGGGATGGTTGACCATGACCATCAAGTGTAGTAGAGACAAAGGGGCACAAGACCTGCCTACACAAGCCTAGGTTCTCCTACAGCTCATCTTCCTGTTTCTCTTGCTTACTCCAATGGCACCTATTTACTGCTCTTCATACACTAGGAATAGTGTCACCTCAGACCTCTGTGCAAAACAGATTTTCCATGATCGATGCCTCCAGCTCTTTACCTGGACATTAGCTTCTTAGTGGGGCCCTCCTGAGTCAGTGTCTCCAGAATCCCAACCCCTCCAGCCATAACCCTGACACTTTCTTTCTCTTCCACACGGTAGAACTTGAGTGTGTCCTGTTCACAATGGTAACCCCGTTACCAAAAAATGCCCTGAATCAGGTGGGAGGTCAGAATGTTCTGGCTAAATAATTCTCCAGGTGTCTGTTTCTAAATTTCTGCTGCTCATTAAATTGTTAATGAAAAGCAGGTCACAGTTACACAGGGAGGACAAAGTAAATAGGTTATTTAATTTATAAAAATTTATCTTGTTTATAAATGCATCTAATGGAATAGAATCAAGTAGATTTTTTGCTAAGAATGTTAACTGAAAGTCACCACAAATTATTAAGTTAGTCACTAATTAGAAATTAATAAGTGAGTTTTTACCTTTACTGGAAATGACCAAAGGCTTCCAGAATCCTCTACAGTTTAAGAAGGGCACACCAACACCCAGGTTCATGAGGATCTAAACCTGTGAAGAACCTCTGGCCCACCCAAAGGAGTAGGGGGATATATGCTAGAAACACATTTAGAGCTCACCTTCTTTTATCTCTGCTTCACTCTGAAACTTGAATTCATGAGTCGTTTTAGTCACACATTTTGGAAGAGAAAACTCTTGAGACACACTAAAAAATAAAAATGTTTGGCATTAGCATCTCTAACCAGAGGGTTCTTTAGAAGCAAGGATGGCAAAGCTTTGCCTTTCATCCTTTGGACATGTTTCTAGGAAAGGTAATTCTCTGGATAAAGAATTATGCCTGGAAGGGTGTGTGTGTGGGGGGAGTATCAGCTTGTTGTTGTTGTTATGTGCCATTGAGTTGCTTGCGACTCATAGCGACCCTATGTACAATAACTCTAAACTCTGTTCTGTCCTGTGCCAATTGCACAGCCTCCGATACACCCATCCTGATTACCCCAGTCACGGAATCAATCCACCTCCTAGAGAGCCTTCCCCTCCTGCATCATCCCTCCACTCTCCCAAGCATGACGTCCCTCTCCAAGGACTGGTCCTTCCTTACAACATGTCCAAAGTGTGTCAGACAAAGCCTCAGAATCCTTGCCTCCAAGGAGCAACCCAGTTTAACCCTCTCCAGGATGAATCTGTTTGTTTTCCTAGCAGTCCACGGTACCCTCAATACTATTCTCCAGCACCACA